CCCAAATTCGGATGAGCATTTACAAGGGGTTCCGTTCAAGCGAGGCGGATTTGGGGCGTCGTGGCTGGCTGGACAAGCGTCTCCACTTCCGACTGTCAAAGAACGGCCTCGCCCTGAGCTCACAAGCGCTGGTGTGGCGCGTCACGCTTCGGCGTTGCCTTGCTCTCATCCACCGAGCCACTCACTGGCGACAGTCAGTGTCCACTGGCGCCGGGCTGGCAACGGGCAGTCCAGGTTCAGGGCGCCAGCGCTTTTCCACAGCAACCAGGCCTGCGGTTTCCTGGTGGATATTAGAAGGACGGGGAGAGAGAAGGGTGCGAGAGCGATTTGACGAGCACGCTCCCGTGGGCTCCCAGTCCGGGCTCCCAGTCCATGCCCTCCTCCCCCCTAGGAAGGAGCGGTGAGTCGACGCCCACCAGACCAACTGAACATCTGTGACAGGGCCCCAGCTTCTCATCCTCACCATACTTCACCTTACCTCGTCACCTATGCATCGCCTTACCATCACCACTGCCGGGCCCTATCCCCGCCCCGTTTTCTCGCACAGGGCAACCGGCAGCCCGTCATCCCGCCCACTTTGACGGCCATTCACTCCTTTGAGGTCATCATGGTGGATGCTGACGGGGGACGGCACACGCGAATGAGTGTGACGACAGGGTAATCCCCTTTTCCTCGACGACACTTTTAACTACATTCCTAACCGTTGGGTCGGCTAGAAGACGGGGCGGTCCCTTGGAGATTCGTTCGGCCGTGTAGAAACCCACTGCATGGGGAGCTTCCCTTTTTTTTTTCTCCTCCACCTAATTTAAGGCCGTTTTTTCTCTTCAGTCTCAAAGCATGGATAGGCAGAGTACGGCATAACGCACGCGTGCCAGCTGTGCCGACATACCAGACAAGCGGACGGTGTCAAATGGTTGCACTCCGACGAATAGCGCGGGGCCGTGCGTCGTCCGATCGGTGCATGTGTCCTGCTGCCAGCTGGCTGTGTCGTAGCATTGGGCGAGGACCACTGTCAGTTTCCAGACAAGTAATTTCTCCTCCCTCCCTGAGCAGCCAAGTCAACCGAAGGGAACCGCCCAAAGGGACCCAAGGGAGCATGACGTAGAGCGAGGCTGCAGACTTGGAACCGCAATCTTGAAAGCAATCTTGAGTAGCACCCTTTGTTCGAGGTGGCCTATCGATCGAGTTGCGCACCTTTGACGTTGCTGTCCACCTTGGTCTTTGTGTGTCTTTCCTTGACAGCTGTCCGGAAACGGATAACATCAAAACAAAACAAGGCAGATCACATCACAACTGAACAGGGGGAGCAGGCAAGTGGAGGAAGGAACAAGCAGATCAAGCAAGGCACAACGCACAAAGCATGTTCATGCTTCTCATGCTTGCTCGCTCATGCTCCAATGCCATGCAGCAGTGTCCCTGCAGCCCGATGAAAGTTGCTGCAGATGGCCACTAGAGGCACCAGTCGCAAGGCAGGAGCTCCCATGACCTCTCCACTCCGCTGCAGCTGCCCGCGTGTATAGGCGTTGTGGTGGTAGACTTGCACCTACCCAGGACGCCTGTGCCCAGCTGCACTCGTAACACTTGCAGCAGACTTGCACCTGGATTTCCTGCACTGGATCCTCCTGCTCCTGCATAACAACGGGAGCGGCAAGGCAGGCGGGATCGAACAGCACGAACGCCTCCTGTCTGTGGGTTCCTCCTCCTTCTCCAGCTTGTCTGACGTCTGGTCGACGTGGGTGTGAGACCAAACAAACAAACCATGCGCTTGCTCGTCGCGCACCGCACTTTCCCATCATGCCGTCGTCATATGGGGTCTCAATAGCCTTGGCTCGGTTCTTCATTTTTTTTCACTCTATTCCCCTCTCCCTGGCGGACAGACGTGCCGACCGACGAGACCTCCTCCACATTCGGGGACACTGACAGGCCTCTCCATCATTTCAATCCTTTCCATGTCCTCAGGGACCGCAGCGGGTCTGGTCCTCCAACGGCCGGGCCTGGCCATTCATCCTCTTGGGCCCTGGGCCCTGTAATGGCAGCATGAGCGGCTGGCTCTTTGACACAAAACAACCCTTGCAGTACCACTTTGGTGTTTCACACCAATTCCGATTCGAGACTGCGGAGTACAGATCACGAGAGAGCTTCTCTTGAAAGGGACGGGACGCCCAGGCAGACGACCCGATGAATTGATGGGACGAGTAAAGAGGTCATTAAGTCCGTGGGTTGCCAATTCGACCCAGCACCTCCACCTGTGACAGGCTTTCTCTGGCTCGTTTGTTGGCGTCGGTGACCGCGGGGGGGAGGCTCGGGAGAATTCTACGACGTCCAGGCGGGTTGCCAATTGAGTGAAGATCGTCCCAACGCAACCCTCCCTCGTCTCACGCATGCCGTATCTGGCAGCTGTCGTCCACGGACCTTGGTCTTGGATCGGGCAAGCTGTGCGGGTGCAGCGTCAAATTCTCAACCGAGCCGGGAAAATTTATCTCCAGCGCAGCCTCTCCCTACCTGTGGATAGGGAGCCGAGAGCTCATGTCCGCGAGGTGCACAAACACCCGAGACAGAGATGCCGTTTAAAGCAAGACACTTCGAGAGCTCATGAAAGAACGCTGGCTAAATCTCCACACAATCCATCGCCGCAATAGCTGCTCTGGATCCACGTGGTTTTCAGTCATCGTCAGCAGTACACGGCCACGGCGTTCTTCATACCGAAACGGCCGGCTTCCGGTGCATCAAGGTCTTCGGAAAGAAGGACAGTCACTCGAGGATTGGCCATTTCGCTATCGCCATTGGTCTGCCTTGCCTCACTCCCCCTCACTCCTTCATGGCATCTCATCTCAGACGGCGGTTCCGAGTGCGGCGCAGCCCTAGCACTGGGCGGGGGGCTTACTGCAGGATGCTGCCCGGCTGGCTGAGGAGCGGATGTGACAGCGAACTGCAGAGTCACAGGCCCAGGGACCCCCAGACGCCCGTGATCCTCGAATAGAGTAGCAGCATAACCTCCTTGAAGACGGGGCTTAGAGCCTCGAACAGCCTACATGGTACTCGCTCTACCCTCATCTAAACCCCGAATCGTAAGACCCATCTGAAAGCCGTACTGGTCTGCCTATGAATTCTGGTAGATGCTCCCTTTGACAGGGCGAACCTGTAGTCAGGATGAGAGTCGGTGCAACGCTAAAGAAACATGTTTCTTGAAGAGCTCCCCCACTACCAAAGCTCCAGCACGACGCACATCAGGGGACCAGCTCGCTTACGAGCTGTCG